TCAGGATCAGGAATGCTATATAATATTTATGAAAAATTCTATCAAGTTTCTGAGCTTATAAAATGTTGAAACACAACATCGCGCTGTACACACAGAACAACGACCCAAAGACGGATCCAAATCCGATGCTGAGACAAAAATGATAATAAATCCACTAGGGATTGGATTAATATTTGCGACGACCTGTTATGGATCAGCTAATGAAGCAGTATTGACGGCGGGCAAAATTAATGCCTGCAAGATGAATTTATCTAAAACTTCAAGGTCCGGTAGCCGAATAGAAGAAGCAGGAAAGAATACAACAGGCAGTTCTAAGGGAAACACTGAAAATCGTCATCATGCCTCACATCTCCTTGAAAAAAGATATTGTTTGGTCACGACTAAAACAAATGTAATCGTATGCTTACCAGCGGGATATTGTTTTCCTTCTTCTGGAACGCAAATCACGGACTGAACCGGAAAGTCGATTATAGCTGGAGTCGACTGGAAGTCGGCATTACTCCAGTCAACGCTGGGTGAAAATGACTTGTAGTCACGTTGCTGCCAGAAGCTTTGGCTTTCTTCTTCCGAAACCTTGATCTTTCGTACCCATTTCACACATCGCGTTGCGCTGGCACCTAAAAAATACAAAAGATCAGACATACCTATGATGTGACGTGGTATGTTTCAGTTTGTAGTTTATTACAAGAAGTTGCAGAACGCACAGGACACAATGAAGTAGCAACTGAAAGAGACTCCACTGAATCATTAGAAGTACTTTCAAACATAGCGATTCATCTGCATGTAAAGCATGTACGCGACCGAGGTAGGTCAATTGATTAAGCGTCAGAATCAGAACCGATAGGACTCGAGTTCGAGTTCCGGTGGGATTACTCGCTCTTCTTACCTCAGAGGTTAATAAATAGGTACCATTCTGAGGGAAGAACATAGGAGACCACTTACCATGCTTGCCACATTGCTGCACCCCTGGCTGATGGTACTGAAATGGAGATCAGCCTCTTACCATTAATTTCATAAAATGAAGGCGCCAAAAATGGAACCATCATTCAAGCGCATGAAACACCGATATTCCTCAACGCTTAAAAATTTTACTTTTCTTAAGCATTTAATAACCGCTACATAAGTCTAATACATCGTTCGTCAATTCAATAATTTGGTCTGCGGTGTCACTTCATCATCATCCGCCTTTATCAGTCCACTGCTGGATGAAGGCTCATCTAAAACTCTGATTCACAATTCCACGATTTTGTGTCATTTGTACCCACCTAGATTATCGAATTTCCTTAATTCATCCTAATCGATCTGTCGATCAGTTGGCTACCTCTTAAAACCCAGTCTTACGTCCATCGGTTCTTTTTGCAACTGTATGCAGCGTCTGGACTCCGGCAACGACATCGCTGACTCTTGTTGGTGCAATGACTCATTCGCTTTTCTCTCTACCTTTTCTTATTATGACCCATACACAACTGTCCATGCTGCGTTGGGGAATCAACAGTTTATGAAAAGCTTTTAGAGGAGGATCTACGTTTCACATAGGCAGGTTAGCATTGGGAGTGCACACTATTCGAAAACTTTCCATTTGAAGTACAATGGCAGTTTTCCGGATTTTAATATCTTCAGTCTTCCGAGAGTGCTCCATGCCGCTTATATTCTTCTGCTGATTTCACAGAATCGGTTCTCTGTTGTAGAGATAAGTTGTACCAGACAGACAGTTTTGCACCTCTTCATAAATAAGCCCATTGACTTCAACAGCCATGTGGGCACTATTTCTTTAAAATGACATGAGTATGAGTTTTCTTCAGGTTCATTTTCAGTCCTACTTTGAAGCTGGAGTCTTTCAGCTCTTGGGTTCTTCGCTAGTTCTTTTGGTTACCTTTAGAGGAGCAGAATTTCGTACGCACACTGCAGGTGGCTGAAACAGTGCTTACTGATCTTTAGCCCGAAAATTTTCCCAACCAAATGTCTTGAAAATCTCTTCTAGGGCTGCTGTAGATAACTTCCATGAAATTGCATTCCTCAATCGAACGCTCTTTTCGACTTTAAACTTGTTTGTACATTCGTGTAATGGCGCTGAGGTTTCAATGTCACTTAGGAATACGTAATAGGCAAAAATCAAAATATGCAAATATATTTCAAACGCTCCGGCCAGCTTATCGTTGTGGGAAATAAAATTTTAAAAGTCAAAGTCTACTCAAAGATGAACTGTGCAAAGTGAATCACTCAGAATAAAAAACCTCATTCGCGGCAGACATGCCAATCCTTATCAGCAGTGAGAACACTAACTTAAAATCAATAATATGCTGAGAGGAGAAGAACGGAGAACAACAGAACATAGACGAATCTGTAGCTTCTTTGAAATAGTTACTTTCTTGTGACATTCTTCTGTTTTAAATCTTCCCAGTCAGCTGATCGCCAGTTGTCTAGGCTGTGATATGCCGTGGGTGCATTTGATATCTCGGAATATTTTCAAAGTTGAAAGCTTATCGCCTGAAATGAGAAATGGAATGGAAACTTCAACGTCTTGCATATTTCCCACAGCGGTCAACTCTCATTCTGTTGGCACACAGCTTGAATTTGTCGGATTATAGCAAAGATCGTTTAACACTGCTTCTTAAATCCGTGATTAATTAATGCATTAAGATAATTTTCTGAGAGTTTAACGTGCTAATGTCTAAAAACTGGATAAACCTCTTTCAGTGCTTCGCCAAAAACACTTACTTAGATTATCACGGACGATTAGTGATCGCCAGTAAATATGATGAAAGCCTGCAGATAATCCAAATAAGTTGCGATTCAGAAGCAAAGTACTGTTATATTTTCCGAGTGATCTATACTTGCCACTCATCACCTTTGTCTTGTAAACAAATGTGCCATATCTGTATGATTCATACATAAAAATATATTCGATCTTATGGGTTTACTAGCATGCTGCTAGTTATCGATATCACAGCTAAGATAAGTAACACTGTTTTCTTTTGATACCGCATTGAAACGGTATAATGATACCGTCTCGTTGTTTATAGTGGTCTGTGTAAACATTTAAGCAGCCGACGGCTCCATGGTATTTGAGCAGCACCAGTGCATGAATGCAAACCGCATCATTAGACAGGGTCGTTAAAGGGACGGTGCCATTATGCTGTTTCAATCCAGTATCAAAAGAGAAAATGTTTTTCCTCTTAACCGTGGTATCCATATCTAGCAACATGCTAGCAAACCTATAAGGTCAGGTTTATTTTTATATATAAGTAAGTCTACGGATATGTCATACCGCAGGTATCCGAACAGGGCTTCGTTGGGCCCTGCCTAGTGATGCGGTTTTGCAACCTTGTACTGTAGGTGTTCATATACGATGGAACCGTGGCCTGCTTAATTGGTAACCTATACGGCTAAAAGCGAGAGGACGGTGCGCCATTACGCCGTTTCAATCTGGTATCAAAAAAGAAAATGTTATTTCTGTATGATTCATTTCAGTTAACTGATGATGGCAGGTAT